ACCACAGGTGGACTGTGTGCTCGTTTGTCACCCTTATCTTATAAAAAAATAATTATTCAGAGTTTTTTAAACTAGGCACAGGATGTATGTAGCAGTGGACTGTCCACAGGCCGAAGATGATAATTAGGATCAATTCTTTATTGTAATATGTTATTTCCTGGTAAAAGACGAATTGTATTTATTCGTTTTGTCATTTTTTAAGAAAGTACACACCCTATCTGATGATGAAAAGTCGTTGAAATACACACACCAAATGCATTGTTTCTACGTATTACGGGAAAACTTTGTAGTATGAGGCTGATTTTTAACTAGTGTCTACTGGTTTCTAGCGTGTCAAATTTCCTTTAAAATTCAGATGTGTCCCTTTTCTGTTTATTTATCTATTTATTTTTTCAAATACTTGCATTAATTATTTATATAATACACCTTAGTTAAGGTTATATAATACAGAAACCTTATGCTAATAAATTATTGTAAAACCCGATTTACTACCTTTACACAACTGTGACTTACTTATAAATATATTTATAAGTAAGTCGATATATCATCTAGTTATAACTAGATGATATATCGATCTTATTGACCTATTCTAACTTAATTTCCTAAACACGTGTCGAAGAGAAAATAACTAATTAAGTGATTAATATAACATATGTGGCCCATCTTTTTTTAACTATCCTAAGCCAGTGCAGTAGCCGAAGATGGTACTCGTAAAGTGCACTAACTTAACAAAAGCCTATTCAATCTTAAATGTTAATTTATAAATTGACATTTATTAATCAATCTGTTAATAACGTATTTCTTATACATAGAAAAACAATATTTAAACAAACTCTAAGCACTTATTTTATATTCGAGATAATATTAACAATGCTTATTCACCGTTACTTTAGCAAACAACAATCGTTGATCTTATACCATTGGCAATCGTAACCTGTCTTCAAAATGATAATTACTAATGATAAGTGATATTAATATATTCGAGTTTAATCGTGTACTTAAAAATCCGTTTCGAAATAAGCGGCACACTCAAAGTTACGAACGAGCAAACAAAGGCCCCCGAAAATCGTACCAACAATGGAAGGGAAATAAATGTAAAAAAAAAAACCTGAAGTCTCATTATAGGCGCGTTTAAGAGCCTCGTTACGGGCAAGGCTTTAAAAAAGGTCTTCGGGCGTTCCAATTTGGGATCTCTGCATGTCGTTCGGAGTATGCGCAGCGGGCGCTAACGACATCTGTTGGTCGCTAAGTGGAACTTTTGTCCGATTCGATTCGGTAGCGATCGGGCGTTGTCGGCGACTTCTTACAAATCTATAGGGTTGTCGTTCTGTGGGAATTAGTGTTAACTAATGCGTCATTTCTTACTCCCCTTTAAAGTTCGTGTGTTATCAACCCTGAGGACAAAAATATTATTCGTACAGCCTCACATTAATATTAAAAAAGTATTTAATACATACAAATACGTGTTAAATACATAGTATGCTAAATCCCTTAATTTTATAAATACTTTAAGAGTTGAGTAGCGTTTGAGTATTTGGCCGTAAACAGAATAAATAAAAAATAAAATATAATAATATATGTTTCGTTTGACAACCCTAGACTAGGATGACTTTAGTACGGTTGCGGTCCATTTTACTATTGGAATGCGTGTTCCTTTGTTAGGCACTCTCCGTCAACTTAACCGTTTGCTTATATGAAGTAGTCAATCAACGATATACAAAAGATTTACATAAATAGGACAAAGAAATTCAAAAGATATGATATGATTTACATTAAATTCAAAAAATGGATTTGACTGCAATTTCATATGAACTTTCGTCATTCACTTCCCATTTAGTGTAGTAATGAAAGAAAAAAAGAAGCAAGTTTATTTAATTCTAAAAAATTACACATGTTGTTGCATAACAGTTATATTAATACTTATTTTATATATATATTTTAATAGGATAATGGTGACAAGCAAGCGCACAGTTCACCTGATGGTGAGTGGTTGCTGTGACCCAAAGACATCTACATCTATTCACGTTTGCGAATAAAGTGCAGATGCGTTGTCAACTGTGAGGACTAAGATGGAATGCCTCTTTTCCAAAAAAAAAAGGGTCTCCGGTTCTCTACACTTAAATTTAAAATCGACTCACAGCAGCATTAAACTGATATTTTACGCTGGAATTCCGTGAGAGCGTGGTCCTACCTCGATCGAGCCGACCCATTCGTGCTACAACTATACTACTAATTTAACTGAAGCAAATAGCTATCCGAAGCCGCAAAGTAATAACTGCAGCGTTAATATTCTATCTATGCCCATATCTAAACATCACGAGCAGTCACAAAACATAACTGTTGTTAACACTAAAAATAACAAATAAAAACCCAGTATGAAGTTTAAGCATTGATAAATTTTGTTTTGAAAATTGATAATTAAAAAAAATAATATAAATTTTTATTAATTATTATTTTTTAATCTGAAGGTAGCCGTGGTTAACTATGACATTGGGACGTCATACACCTCAGTCCCCCCCGTGACCATGGGTGCTGTAAAGTGCTTGAAACGTCGGGAATGTAAAATAAGTTAATATACGCGTTAAAATCCGTAAAATTAGTTTTATTTAAATGTGTAGTGTTCGCGTAAATATAAGAAATCATTACTTATGTGATCCTTTAGTTGTATTTGAGATTTTCTTAAGATGACGTTCATAACAAATTATAATGAATTTTTTTTCTTTTTAAATCAATCTTTTTTAATCAATTTTTTTTGTCTTTTTTAATAATTTTTTTTTAATCAAGTGTAATAAAGTTTGAATAAAACTGATTTAGAATTTTATAATTGATGTCATCATTTGCTTTTGGTTTGATTTGATTATAATACGATAAGGTTCACTGGCATAATGAACCTATAAATTTGCGACGTTTAACATACCGACAAAGATATTCTTTTAAAAACAATATATACTTACTCGTACAGGGTTATTTTTCAAATAGAAGCCAAATTTTAAATACTAAATATATGATATACGGTTAATGCAGCTTTTGAAAATACGAGTAAATAAGGCTTCAATTCTTATTTGAAATTATCCCAAATTGAATGAATGATATTTATGGGCAACAACGTTTTTGCTTACCGATCGACGCTTATAAATGTATGCAGCAATAATGTGCAGTAAATTCAGTTAAAATAATGAATTCACGCGCATTTTGACATTAAAAGATAAAAAAGACAGAATGCTTTAGATCTTTTTTTATTAATTTTTCTTCAACATTTGCCTATATTACTTATTTCGAAGTTTCTTCGCAAATTTGGCCGATTATTGCAAAATAACTTTGTATAACCGGACAGTAGTGACCGCGAAACGTGGAGACATAAAAATTTGAATTTCTAAAAGTCTGTCCTATTACAAAAACATCCAAATGGGAACTTAATAATTACTCAATTATATACGTAAGAAAAACTTTAAGATATGAATACTTATTTACGCATGCGATTTACCATCTAAGACTTCAATACCACTTACCATCAGGTGGGATTGTATTCAAGCATCTGTTTTGAAGCCTTCACATTTTTTATACCTTAAATAATACTTACCTATTTTATTTAAATGTGTGCTACGATAATAATGGTATACTTACCAACGACAGACAATTGACAAACAAATAATAATCTCATAAATAAGTATATAACAGAACAAATTGACTATGTATGCAGTTCCAATGGTGAATTTTTGTGGTCCGTATCACCTTGGCCCAAGCCATTACCCTCATGGCTCTGGACTAGCTGAACAATATTGGCTGTAAGTACATTTATAATAAAACCAAATTAGTAACCACACGTATAGCCCCTCAATGCATTACCTCATACGGACGGACGGACATCAAATTTTACTTTCAATAATAATTCGTAAAAAGTGAGATAAAGTAATACCGATAGAAGTAGTGTTTTACATGACCCCTTCATAAATCTTGGGAATTGTGCTTGTAGGAAAACAAGCGAAAAGGCTAGAGTATTTTTCTCTCCGTTCTTATTTCTAACTTAGAAGTTCTGTATGAATATTCATATATATATATATATATGGAGGCGTGGTAACTCATATGGTCAGGGCTCGCTGTAAGTTTCACAGTACGCGATAAACCCGGGTTCGATCCCCGCCGGCACCAATGAAATTGTTAATTGAAATTGTAAACAATTTTAAGTGCTGATTTACCACGTGCTCGGCGGTGAAGGAAAACATCGTGAAACATGGAGGTTCTATGTCTGAAAAATAAGAAAAAAATATATATTTCGGAGACATGTGAAGTTCGCCCACACGCATTGGGGCAGCGCGGCGGACATTTCCTTACCCTGAAATCCTCTCAGAAATGAGAGGAGGCCTGTGCCCAGCAGGGGGACGTATATAGGCTATAATTTTAACTATTCACATATATTTTCATCAAAATTTCACCACACAATGGATACTCTGGTAGACGATGCCTATCAGCGTAACCTTTGTATTTTTTTTTAATAATGGAAACGCTATAAACATTTTTGATAACTAAATTAAAACCAAATAGATACTTATTAATAAGGTATTTTCTAAAATAAAAGTCCTTTTGTCCGTCCGTAACCGTGATCTAATTTTGTAGAGCTAATAAAAACTGATTAGTTTTGACTTCATATTACTTCGTATTTAAAATGTTTTGCTCTCCATCATCATCATCATCATCATTTTTACAGCCGTTCACAAGTCCACTGCTGAACATAGGTGTCCCCCAAAGAATGCCACATGATACGATCCTGATCACGTGCATCCATTGAATTCCTGCGTGTCTTACCAGGTCGTCACTTCGAGAAACTTTCTTCCCCACTTCAGCTTACTCATCCGTTCTGATATCCTCATAACGAAGATTATCACGCAGGGAAACCCATAGCCCTCTGCATAGCTCACTGAGCTCTCCATCATATTTTAAATAATTTTCAAATAATGCACAGATAATGTTAAAACTGTTTCACCATGAAAACCTTGTTCCAGGAAACCATCGGTAGATGGTGTTGGAAACGCTTCTTCAGTCAACAGCCGGTGAGTTTTACTACTTGTACTTATTAGATTAAACGCTAGTTAGATTACTAAAACATTTATTTTTAACTAATTTACAAAAATTAAATAGGTACGAAATATAAATTCTGGAAATCACTCTTATTATTTTTATTTAAATTATAATGAAGAATCTATTCATTATTCATTATTCTTCTTTAACTTTATTAGTTTTATAAAAAACTAGCGATTCGCCCCGACTTCGTAGTGGTACTTTGTTGATCTCGACAACAGCTCCACCTACCGGATCCAATTGTGAATTTAAACCTTCCAGGGACCCACTTAAACACACACAAAAAAATTCACCAAAATAGGTAGAGTCAGTTTCGAGTTTTAGCGAGACTAACGGACAGTAATTGATTTTACATATAATCCATAACAATATTTATGTAAATGTTTCATATTTTATACTTCTTTATATATATCTTTATATATAAAAATTACTTGTCACATTGTTCCGCGATGAACTCCTAAACTACTAAACTGATTGCAATGAAATTTCGAACACTGTGTGCAGTTTGGTCCAGCTTGAGAGATAGGATAGTTTTATCCCTATAAGTGACCCTCAATATTTTTATTACGAATTTAAGAATTTTTATAGGACACAGGGTCTTCAGAGAGGGCAGAACAACGTCTGCCTGGCCAGCTAGTATATATATATATATATATATATATATATATATATATATATATATATATATATATATATATATATATATATATGTCCTTTCTGATGACCCTGTGTCCTATAAAAATTCTTAAATTCGTAAAAAAAAATATATATATTTATATATTATTGTTGGTGCATCTCTTAGAAATCATGTAACTTCTGAACAACTTGACCGATTGAGGTCCCACTCACACTATATACTCGTATTTGTGTTATCGAGAGGACGTTTCATAGCTTCCTGGATCCGATAGGTGCACTGCCTGTAGACAAGTTATTATCAAATCCTATATTTATAGACATAAATCACCATTTCACAAAATATAAGCTGTTTAGTACCAAAAAGAAAATATCAGAATTTGGACCCGACATATTGAATTCCTTTTTTAAATTTTAAATAGTCCGGAGCGTAACACATCGCGCCACCTACGGGAAAGAACAGAACAACTACTGCTGTGTCGGCCAGTATATTATATATTTTATAATATTAGTACTTATACTTGTCAATTAAAAATTTGACATTAATTATTATACACCTAGCTTACTCAAAGCCACACACTCTCAAGGTAATTAAGTACAAAATTTCAAAAACTAAACTTTGCAAGCATAAAATGGCTTTGCGCCGCCCAAAACGTGTATTACAAATCCAATCTCAAAGATTAGTAGAAGTTCTATTCGGCCGATCGGGTCAGTAAGCCTCAAAAGCCAGGTATCCAATAATCCAATCTCTAAAAATGGTAATTTCCGATCGCCTGTTCTCACGGACGAAACGCAGGGTCAAGAGTGAAAAAACTCAGCTAAATATCGAAAAGGGAAAAAGAGAATATCCAATCACAATTATGGCGGACGAGTTTGGGCACATACTAATTTCATCTGCATTATTATTGAGCTGTGGTGTTAGATACAATGTAATGTAAAACCAAATTTGATATATACTTGACCATGGTAAGATATTATTATTATTTTTATAATGACAGATTTTTATTACAATAAAAGTATACAGGATTTATATATAAATATACTTATACGTCTTGAACTTTATGGAGACCTGAAGGTGTACTTCGATATCTGCCACTGGAACTCCTCGACGAGTAGAACTAGGTGTGCCGAGATTGAACTCGGTCGTCGAAGATTATAGCTGTTAGTCGCTTTGAACACCCTAACGATAAGGAAAACTATTATAGCCCTATCAGCGGTGACAGATTGACTCTCGGCTTATTAAGGCGCTGAAGTGTTTGTACTGTAAGGTTACAATATCTCTCCGAGTACAGAATCAAAATAAGAATACACTTCGCCTACCAGTACGAGGCTGCCACTCGAGAACCTTTTTTCCCCATCGGTTGTCGGTTCTTCGAGCTATATGGCCGGCCCATTGCCACTTCAGCTTACTAATCCGTTGGGCTATGTCGGTCACTCTGGTTCTACTGCGGATATCCTCATTTCTAAGTTTATCACGCAGAGAAACTCCGAGCATAGCCCTGTCCATAGCTCGCTGAGCGACCTTGAGCTTCCTCATCCGGCCAGCTGTGAAGGACCATGTCTCAGTTCCATAGGTCATCACTGGCAACACGCACTGGTTTTACAGTCTCGTTTTCAAGTTTTGAGGTATACCTGATGAGAAGATGTGCCGTATTTTCCGGAAAGCTGCCCAACCGAGTTGAATCCGTCGATTGACCTCTCGGTCGAAGTTAGACTTACCTAGTCGGACTATTTGTCTCAGGTAAACATACTCATCAACAACTTCGAGCTTAGTGCTCCCAACAACTACCGGCATAGTTGTGACATGGACATTAAACATGATCTTTGTTTTGTCCATGTTCATCTTAAGACCTATCCGTTGGGAAACACTATTGAGGTCATTGAGCATAGTACTTAGGTCCTCCAGCGATTCTGCCATAAGGACTATATAACGGCAAATCGAAGGTGAGTGATGTATTAGCCATTGATGGTGATACTGTATCCTTTCCAGTCCAGAAGCTTGAAAACGTCTTCCAATGCAGCGGTGAAGAGTTTCGGGATATGACGTCACCCTGACTTACACCTCTCTGCAATTGGATAGGCTTCGTACTCTGGTTCTGTACTCGGATAGCCATCGTAGCGCTACTGTACAAGTACTTCAACACTTCGATATACCGACAGTCAACTTGGCATCGCTGAAGGGACTGCAGCACCGCCCAAATTTCGACGGAATCAAAGGCTTTCTCATAGTCCACATACGCCAGACATAGTGGCAAATTGTACTCTTCGGACTTTTGTATAATTTTCCGAAGGGTATGTATGTGGTCTATGATGCTAAAGCCTTTTCGGAAACCGGCTTGTTCGGGAGGCTGGAAGTCGTCAAGTCTGCGCGCGAGACGATTCGTAATGACTCTGGAAAACAGCACGTAGACGCGGCTCAGAAGGGAAATCGGTATAGGGTAGAGAGCGTTGTCGCCTTTCTTGAAAAATAAGACCACCGCACTTCTGCTCCACGCCTCCGGTCAAAAGCCACCACGAAGGACGGAATTAACGAGCCTCTGAAGGACTTCAAGTACCGGTTTTCCACCCGCTTTCAGAAGCTCTGCTGTAATTCCATCCTTGCCTGGGGCTTTGCCGTTTTTAAGGTGATGGAGAGCCATTCTAATCTCGCTCAGACTGACGTCCAGGATATCATCGGAATATTGTCGGAGTAACGATACAAGAGCACACGCTCGTTACTCACCATTTGCGTGTGGCTCCAACTATGATGTTTACAGCTGCCCTCGAACCTCTCAATCTCACTCAAAATCTCAGGTGTCACGGAAATGAAGCTGCCACATTCGGTCTTCAGCTTCGACAGTTGGCTCTTTTTGGCTTGACTGAAGTCTTTGGAGCCCTGGTTCCGCTCGATCGCTTCTTCAATACGAGCAGTATTAAAGTTGCGTAAGTCCCGCCGTATGCACTTGGAGATCTGTCTGTTCAGTTGCCTGTATGCTGTCAAATCTACTGAAGACTGCAGCTTCATATCCTGTCTAACAGCCATGAGATTAAGAGTGTGATCGGAGAGTTTTTGTGTTCATGGACAGTTTCCACGAGCTTGTCATTCATATCTTCCACTGCATTGCAATCTTCTAGGCACTGAAAACGGTTTCGTAGCTCGAGCTGAAAGGTTTCGGGACTTTGGATTAGAGCACGAGGGTGACGGAGCGTTGACTTCATTAGACGTGACCTCTCCAACTTAACGTTTAGGTTCAGTGTGCCTCTCACCATTCGGTGATCGCTGCCGGTTTTCACCCTCGCGATCACTGAGACATCACTGAACAGTTGTCGTCTGGTCGTCATAATGAAGTCAATCTCATTTTTTGTCGAACCGTCGGGGCTCGACCAGGTCCACTTCCTGTGGGGCCGCTTCTGGAAGAAAGAGTTCATCATAAAGAGTCCCTCTTTCTCCATGAAGTCGGCCAGCTGCTGGCTTCTTGGGTTCCGTTGCCCTATTCGAAATTTCCCTATTTTCAGCTCACCATTCTCTCTTGTGCCTAGTTTTGCGTTGAAGTCTCCCATTAACACCGTATAGTGGGTTTTGGAGGAATGCATGGCTCTAGAGATATCTTCATACATTTCCACCACCTCCTCATCGGGGTGTGCCGAGGTTGGTGTGTAAACCTGTATGACCTTCAGCGAATACCGTTTGGTGATTCTGAGTATAAGGTACGCAACCCTCGTTGACACACTACCAATCATTACAACGTTGTTAACGAGAGACTTGTGGACGATAAATCCGACACCTCCTTGGGACAGATGGTCGCCCTCCCGGTGGTAGAACAAGTTGCCGGATTCGAGGATTACCGTGTCCTCCCCCATCTCTTCGGACCTCGGACAATCCTATGATATTCCAGCGCAACTTGTCTATCTCTTCTTCCAGCTCCAGGATCTTCCCGTCAGTCCTCAGGGTGCGTGCGTTATAAGTTGCCAGGTCGAGTCGTCGTAGGTGACCTACGAGATTCTTAGGACCCCCTGCCCCGCCGTTACCATGGTCGCCACTGTAGCCAGGAATAGCGAGGCCATCGGGGACTGGGGGCCGTCTCTTTGTTACTCTCATGGGGTGTATATTGCCATAGTTGCCATGCTTGGCGAGTGGGTTGGCAATCGCAGTTTTTTTTTAAATAGTTGTTTGCTATTATCAGAAAGATGCTGCTGGCCATCCTCTGCCTCAGTTTTCCTCTGTCGCCTCTTACGACACCCACGGGAAGATATGGGGTAGTAAGTATTCTTTCCCGCCACTAAACGGGTCAAATTCTTAGTAGCAGTGTATTAAAGTTAGGATGTTGGCGGTATTTTTAGAATTACCCTCCCATCGGAATATG